GGCACGCAGCCAAGCACGACAACGATCCGTCGCCTTCACTCGAACCGGGCCTCGCCTCCGCTCCCCCTCTCCCCCCCCCCGCCCTACCCCCCCCGGAGTTGACGACCTGTTCCGTTCCGATGGCGATCGTGGTGTTGCCCTTTCGGGCGTAATGAGGTTTGCAAACGCAGCCTGCAAACCTGACGGTGCAAACTCGAACTCGTGTTGACTTGAAGAGGCAATCGCGAAATATTGGTGGAATTATCATCATCACCTGTCTGTCGCACAATTCTCATAACGGATAAAATCCCTCGCTCTCGTTGAATAAGAATTCTATCGAGGACCATTTGATTATCGGTCTGTTAATTGGAATGCCTTAATATCCATGTGAGAGAGAATTTTAAGAAAAATGCGATCGATATAATCCAAGTACCGTACGTAAATCTGCGATATCCGCTTTATCGCGAGACAGCAGTTGGGAATTAATATGAATTTGGAATACCCGGAAATTATGTCAACGAGCATAGTAGAAATCGCGAACACTCTCGGGAACATAACAATCCTTTTGCCTGTCTTAATAAATCGTGGCGTACGTACAAGCACGACGAATACACGGATCGTATGCGGAAGTTTGCGTAAAATCGCCAATAAAGTCAAGTTATTACGGAACGCAATGGGGATTTATAGATCTCCAGCAGACTGTGCACCTACGACATTTCGGTCGTTTTGCCGTTTGAAGATTTTATTAAATTTACGACATTGTCTTGAACGCATTGTACCTACGTGCGTAGAAAACGGAAAGCGCGACGGAAATACCTAAGCATAAGCGGTGCCGCATGTTCGAGAAGCGAATTGTTCGGAAATTAAATAAATAAAAAAAAGAAAAAAAGAAAAGAAAGAGAAACGGAACATTTTACTTTTCGCACGATAATCACGGATACCCACCTGCGCACGCTCTCGGTGATCGAGTACTTCGATTCTTTCGAGAAATTGCACATTCGACCATCCAAGTGGATAATGTACGGGCATGAGCTCATGGCCGTCTCGAATGACTCTCCAGCTGGAACAAATTTTATTGCCGTTCTTTTTACCAGGGTACAAAGTGTGAGAGGCTGGCGCATCATTTTTGGCGAAACCCATTAAATATTGAGAATTCTGGCTTTATTTTTAATAGTTCTATAGTTTTATATAGGTTAAACAAAATAGTACTGATCATTAAGATCACAAAGATTGTCTCAAGACAAACTTAGAGATACTAGATTCACGCAGCCTCTCACTTTGTCTCGCATGAGATCTTTTAATATTCATTGCCAGATTTTAACAAATTTATGATTCTATATTTGTTCCAGAAGAGTTCTAGACAAAGTTTTGTCTTCCTTATATAATAATCTATCTCGATTATTTTAGATTTCAAAACTTTTTCAAAAATCTTTCTCTTAAACTCTTCTGTCTTTTTGAACTGTATTAATATTAAAAATGAACATTACGAATGAAGAAAGATTTTTGATTATACAAGAAGTAATATTTCTATTATCATTACCAGTAAATCCAAAATTATTATTTGACACATCAAGGGATAAAGCTTCGAGTTCTACGCAGCCGGAAGAGAGCACTTCGGCGAGCGCTATGCCACTTTCTGGACCCAGTTCACAGCCACTGATATTCAATGTTTCCAACATTTTGTTTCTTATCAGGACTAAAAATGGACAAAACGATATTTTTGTGAGAAAGTCATAAGGAGATATATATATGTAATATTTTTTACTTGCAAAACTATTTCTCCTCAAAAATATCATTTATTAAAAAAATTATATATATATATATATATACACATATATATATATATATATATATATATATATATATATATATATAGTTAAATTATAAAAATCGAAACTTTTTCAAAATAATCCAATTTTTTAACTAGCATTATTCAGTAAAGTGGCACGGTATTTTGTCATCTATATCATTTAATATTTTGATCTTATCTATATTTTTTATCAAATTGTTTTTTCCAATAATTTTCAAACATTGCATAAAATTTTCGATCTACGAAATCGACTCAGGTTTAAAGATTAACAAGGTCTTTTCTTAAAAAAATTTTTATTCATAAATGTAAAATGAGGCTATTATTTTATAATGAGCACATATGTATGTACCCAGGGACGTTTCCAGTGAAATTGCGGTGATTTTGTATCTGTAATAATAAATGTTATTGCTCTTTTATGCATTTTTATATGTAACGAAAGTTTCAGTCACGTTCCGCTGTAACATGCGATTTGTATGCATGCGCATGCCACGATCTGCTTGCATTTATTTAAATAATTCAATATCCTGCTTATGCCACACTTTTAACCTGCGAGTCGATTATACTCTCTTTCGTTTTATATTAATTTTTGAAATTGTATAGACTTGTACATTCAGTCTCGAAAGATCGACTTCGTGCAGCGAGGTCAAATGACATATACATATACATATAATAACATTCAATCTACGATTAAGATAATCTAACGATAACGATATTTTAAAGTACAATTTTTAGTAAGGATATCTTTTAATATAAGTTCTCCAATCGTAAATATTCACATTTTTACATTTACGTATTTTTTAAATATTAAACGTCAGATTAATACTTCAAAGAAATTTAGCAGAGATATTTCAAGAAAATAAGTGCTTTTTTTTTTTAATTTTCTTCTCTTATTTTTCTTTACAGCGACAGGATAATTTTTATCTTGTATTTCGTTATTATTATCATAGAAATTGTATTCGGAAATGTAAAAATATCAATTTCGAAATTTAATATTATCTGTTCTTGTTGTGTGTATACGTGTATTGTATGTGTATTGATAAATTTCTTAGTTTTTCCAAAAAGAGAGAGAAAGAGAGAGAGAATGAAATTTGTGATATTCCCATTATTCGACGAATGCAACGCATCCGTATACTAATACCCAGAATAAAGTAGCATTGCACGCAACATTAAATTTCAATTTATCTCGACGAGCTTTATATTACGCGGGTACTGAATTCCGCAGAAAACACCATCGGATAATCTCTGGAGTGGCGCTGCATTTTTCCAAACAAATAAAGAATTATCTATCTTGATATGTTCTTTCAAACCAGAGGGAGAGAGATTGCGTGCGAAATCACTTACTCTATAAAATCGCATCCATTTTCATTCTTTCCTATTTCACTGTTTATGGGAAGATTATTACGTATTAGAACGCTACTGATAGAATTATTTATCGCAGTTTGTTTACATGTTTGCATATTTATGATTGTAAATATAAAATCTCCATGATAAATATTGTTACGGTAATATTAGACAAAAATTAATATCGGGTTGTTCTTATTACAAAAATATTAAATATATTATTTACGCATTAGGTATAGATCTTGGTTTTATCAAAAAAAGAACTTTAAAAAATTATGACTTATTGAGAACTTATAAATTAAACGTTATTTGAAATGTATTTGCGCTCAATATTAAATTATTCATACCTAAATTTTTAAATATTTTTTTTAAATCTTAATGATTTTTTCATTGTAACTGCTCTGATCAATTAAAGTTAAACTTTTTTAATGTTATTTAAATAATATTTAATTTAAAGTTTCAAGACTGACATTTTTACATGTCAAACATTTTTTTCTATATTTTTTATTCTTTCTCTTCTGTAAAAATTTGATAATCAAGATCTTTGTCTTTTAAAATTAAATGAAAAATTTAAATATTAATATTTAGAAAGAAATTGTGGAAATATTCTATTATTTCTATTATTTATTAAATGATACTCAATGATGTAGAAAACATAACTTAATTTTTATTTTGAGAAATGCGAATTTTGCCATTTTTCTCTTTTTCTTTATATTTCTGATATCATCATCATCAAAACGATATAACAATACGAACTTACGAGCGCATATGTGATTCGCTCCCTCATCTTGGATAGGATTCAGTCTGAGATTCAAAGTCTTCAGACCTGTCGAACTTGCTTTTATTATTCCGTGAACAATCCCAGCAATTCCATTCGGTCCTATATTGTTATTTACCAAATGTAGGGTCCTCAGTTTCTGATGTATTGACAGAAATTCGCCCACCGCGTGTGCACCAGAATCCATCAATTTGCAATGCGAGAAATCCAACTCTTCAATCTACATCCAAGACGGACTAAATAATATTAGCGTAGAACATGTTACGACCGAAAACTGAAAAACTCCGTTAAAAAATTATTACGAGGTATACTAGAAATCAGTATTTATAATCACATAATTCTTTATTATGTTGCAATGGTTGGCTAAGATTTTTATTAAAAAATACCGAGTGGTATTCTCAGCAGGTAGAGCTATATTTCTTCATGTTTTTTTGTCAGAAAATATTAAGGCGAACAACGCCAGCAGTCGTAACTTTGGCTTTTAACAAATATTGTTTTATTTTCTAATTTTTAATGGGAAATAACGTGATTTTTTTTTGCGTGCGTTCTTTTACATTACGTATAACGGAAGGTATACGTCGACTAACGTTATTATTCGCCACCATCCCTTGGAGAATAGCGGCGACTCTGGGCTGATCCAAGTTGCTACGAGTTAAACTGAATTTCTTCAATTTCGGGCTGGCTTTAATTCCTTCTCCCAGACTTGTGCAATCCTCCAGCGAGAACCTGTACGATGAATATTTTATCAATCGTTTACGCGGGGGATCCTCTTTATCTTTGCGCCTGCTGAACTTTCGACTCACTCAAAGTCCCGCCACTCGAAACCGTCGTTCATGTAGATCATACCGAAATGGAGATAAATCTCGGCGAGATGCGGGAATTGCGGGAGTATAATTGCCATGGGAATGTGATGCGCGATGTCTTCATCTGGGGTTAATTCGTTATTCTCCGCGTTATTCTCCTGTTTCGTCCGTTTTCTGAAAGTTGCATCCGAAATTGCACGTGTGAAAAGTGCAGCCTTGTCGATAGTTAATTTTAATATTACCGATTAAAAAGAAACCATATTTTTTTAGTAATTAATTATAAAAAATAGTTTTGTTTGTAGAAATTTAACCAGATATAGATCTGAAAATAATTTTGCTAGTTCGTCAAAATAATAATTATGTGGGACTTAAGCAGATGATGATAATACTACATAATTATTTTGGTCAACAAAATTATTTTCAAATCCAACTTGATTAAATTTTTTTTACGTACTTTAGTAAAATCATTATTTCTATATACTTATAATGTGGAAAATGTTAGCGCACGATAATAAAATATTTAAAGATATATTTGATTAACAATGTTCAAAGAATCGTAAATTAATGTAACCATGTAAATTTTGTTTTATCTTCATTCTATTTACTTTGAACGAATTATCACGAGATAAACGATTAAAAATTGATTTCACGAACTCTATTTACTTCTAGCGTTACTACACACACACACACACACACACACACACACACACACATATATTCTTTTTTTCATTTTGATCATGATTTATCGTATTACATCTGATACCGTTAATCAAACCGTGATGCAAAATGAATGAGCAGCTTTTTTTTGATGTTAAAGGAAAAAAGTATTTCACTCCCGGGATGTATTGCAGCGATCTATGTGTATGTAAAAATATAATATAAATATAAATTAGTATAAATTAGTATAAATATTAGTATAAATAATATTATTATAAATAATATTAGTATAAATTAGTTCGAGCTGTTACTTAATGATTTATTCGCGGCAACAATTAATGTATTGGAGTGAATCGCGGCTCTGATCAATAGTGGACGATGGATTACGTTGCACAAACTATATCGCGTATGTAGAGGTCTATAGGTAGTTGCACGCTAGTCGCTATGAATAATTGAAGAACGCGTACACGCGCCGGGTCACATTAACCATCAGATATGAGCTGGATATGTGGATTAGATTGATATACGAAACGGAATTTCGAATAAATAATAATAAATTTGCATACGCATTGAAAGATGATGTCAGCAGTCTATATATATATATTAATATATTAATAGCACAGCCGTATAATTATATTATATCTACTCCAGACCAGTAATTTGCACAATGAAAGATGAAATTGTTCAACGTGATATGTTAAGAATTTAAGTGTCACAATCTTTTGCTCTCGTACAATGTGTACTTTATTAAATTAATGAAGTAATTAAATGAATAAAATACTATTTCTATTATAAATATTATTATATGAAAGGAACACAATTTTATTGAAATATCTAAAAATTTGATCTGAACAAATTTGAAAATGATTTCGTTGATTCATCAAAATAATTAGAATGTAGAATACTGTTGAAATGTCGAAAGTTTTTGGAGTATTATTAGCAGTTATTCTGTTGTTTGTCTAATAAATTGTTTTTAGATCTGCATTTGGCTAAATTTTTATATATACTTTAACAAAATCGATTATTCACGTGTAATTTAATAAAATGTATTATTATTAATGATAATTATATATTTATTTAATTTAACTTAATAATCTAAATAAGATTAAAGGAAAGAGATAAAACTGAAATACTAAGTCGCGACCCATCATTCGTATCTCGAATAAAAAAAAAAAATGAGGATAAATCTTGCAGTGGATTTACGGATTCCCTGCAAAGGGGAACAGTCCGGTGTGATCTGAAAGAATTACCTTTCTCAATCTCTCTCTCTCTCTCTCTT